AACACGTCCAAAGTGTTTCCCAAGGAGATCTGCCTGTTCTTCTAGGCTCTCAGGGCACAGTCCGTTTTCGGAAAAAAGCGGTACTGAGTAAGCCCGGTAATGCCCATTGACTTTATGTACTCTATCCCATACTTCCTTGTTGGTGGCGGTGCTATTAATAGAGGAAGCATAACCTTGGAAACTTTGACGCTGTGAGACGCGGCGGATGTATCTCGCATGAGCCTTCATCCGCTTGAAACTGATGAGATTAGTCACTGTTGGGTAACGTCTAAATATGCCCCATGCTCTGTTCTGCTTTTTTCTTGATTTTTCACAGTCGGCATTCCACCATGGTTTAGGGCGGCGGGGTAAGCGAGATGAAGTCATAGGGATAGATAAAATTGCAGCATTGAGGATGTGGGCGCTAAGCAAATTGGTGACTTCATCGATAGACAGTTTGTTAAGCGATGTACAAGCGAGCTGGGTTGCCTGGCTGAAGACAGACCAGTTTGCTTCCTCAAACTTCCAACGAGGAGTTCGTGTAGGCACCGTAAGAGGTGGATTTAGTCGGTTCAGAATGATAGGAAAGTGATCGCTCCCATAGGGGTTAGGATCGACAGCCCAGGAAAACAAAGGAAATAATGTTGGAGAGCAAAGAGACAGATCAATAAATGTAAAAGAATGAGTTGGGGCACTGAAATTCGTAGACTCTGCTTTGTTCAGCGAGCATATAGCTGTTAAGGAAAGAAAACGCTCTATCATCGAGCCACGTGTACCTCGTCTTCTACTACCCCAAAGAGGATTATGAGCGTTGAAGTCACCGAGAATTAGGGCAGGTTGGGATAATTGGTCGTGAAGTGATTCAAGCTCTTCGCGGGATACAGGATAGCTTGGGGGAATGTAAAGCGAACAGACGGTTATTAAACGGTCCAACAGAACACGAACTGCCACGGCTTCCAGAGTGGTATTCAAAGGAACCTCAACACATGGGGTAGACGGCTGGACAACTATAGCTATTCCACCAGTACTATGCGACAGAAGAGGTCTGTCCCTGCGAAAAACCTGAAAGCGCCTTAGGATGTTAGAGTGACTATTGTTTAAGTGCGTTTCCTGAAGACAAAATGCTATAGGGTGATGCTGGTCTAACAGAAAGTGCACGTCGTCGTAGTTTCGAAGCAACCCTCGACAGTTCCACTGCAGGAATTCTGCCATTATGCATGAATTAGAAGAAAGACCGTTCATCTAGACCTAAAAATCAATTTTGATGCGGGGTGCATTTTTGTTTTTAGATGTGATCTTCGGCCTATCTGTGTTACCACAGGAAGTCGAAGGTGAGGACTTCGAGCTTGAGTGGGGCCTGTCGTCCTTGGACTTGGGACCGCTCTCGTCCATCGGCTCGTCGGGGGCCGCCTCTGGCTAACCCCTAAGGGCCTGTGACCCCGACGGCTCACCAGGTTTTCGGGCGCCTTCAGAGGGACGAGAAGGAAGTCCCCGAACTCGAGGCACCTGGTTTTTGGATGGCGCAGGGATTGAAGAACCCTACGCTTGAATGGACCCCGAAGCGATAGCATCTACCTATCGTTTTGGGGTTGAAGTGGTTTGTGCTACTCCAGATGTGGTTGAGGGGGACTGAGGGGGGGGGGGGGGGGGGGGGGGACGCAGGTCGTCCGTTGACGTCTGCGTTCCCGTTGACGCCGTCGACCGCGCCGGTCCCCTGCGCGCGGCCTCGGCATAGGAGCCTTGAGAAATAAAAGAATATCTTTTCCGTGCCTCTGGGTAAGAAATATTTTCTTTGGCCTTTAGTGAGAGAATTTCCTTCTCTTTCTTCCACAGGGGACAGCTGCAAGAATATGCTGGGTGTGTTCCTCGGCAGTTGACGCAAAGATGGGTATTGTTGCCACAGTTGTCGGAAGGGTGGTCAGTGATAGCACATTTTGCACGGGTGGCTTTTCCTCTGCAGGTTAGTGACCCATGTCTAAAGCGCTGGCAGCGGAAGCAACGCCTTGAATTGGGGACGTAGGGGCAAACTTTGCAGTTGAGATACCCGGCTTTAACTGTGGAGGGGAGCGTTGTCGAGTTGAACGTTAGCACAATGTGTTTTGTGTCCCGTTCTTCACCGTCGCGACGGATAGTGATACGTCGCACAGCGACTACCTCTTGATCTTGAAGTCCCTCGAGTATCTCGTCGGTAGATATTCCAAGGAGATCATCTTCAGAGATGACACCCTGCCTGCTGTTCAGTGAGCGATGTGGAGTCACTGACACTTTGTAATCTCTTACTTGGTTGAGTGCAAGTGTTTTGCTTTGCTCAGCATTTGTGACCTTCACAAGCAGGTCGCCAGACGGAAGTTTTTTGGCTTTAAAAGATTTTCCTATCACAGTTTCTAGGGTCTTTGCGACCAAGAACGGGGAAAGCTTTGCAAGTGGTTGATCTTTGTTTTCCGAGTGCATTACAATAAATTTAGGAAAATTCATGACTGGCAAGGTAGCGTTTGTTGATGTTGTCACTTCGGTCCGGACCCTTTTCGGGGCCCGATCAAGGAAAGATTTAGTTCTGGTACCCATATGAATGGGAAAGGGACCTCGGCACCTGCGGTGTGCCGCCCACCATCGAGCCCAACTTAGGGAGTAGTCAGCAGTCCATAACAAAATGGGCTTTGCTGGAGCCGCTGATCTACTAGCACTTGCCCAGGTGCTATACCCAAGTGTGGTTAGGATAAGGGTATCTGCCACCACACAAGGTTGGCCCTTGCCACCAAAGAAGGTGAAAGTGAAGGAGCCGGAAGGGGAGAAAAGAGGAAGAGGGGATAGTAGAAGAAATGGCGACTAGGCTGAATCATCCTGGCCGGGCATTACCAGGACTCCCGTCCACGAGAAGCGGGGGCCGAAGTGGTGTGTTGCCTCACCCGGGGGGCCCCGAAGGGCCCAAACCTACCCCGGGCTCGGCTCAACCACCAGGATGCCCTTTTCCCCGGACACGGGCTCGCCACGCACAGCCAGACGTGGGTGGGTGTTAGCCACTTCTTACTCAGGGTCTGTGGTGTCGCCAATGTGGCTGGGGTCCGTGGTGACGCTACTCACCAAGCACCTACTTTCACAGGTGCCCCTGCGGGGTCCTGATTGATTGAACACGAGTCCCAGGAGAACGCTGAAATTGCAATCGTCTCTATTCTCTGCCATGCATTGGCCCTCGGAGTTGACGTAAAAAAAGAAACTTGAAAGCACATTTTCATGCGTGAAAAACCGGCCCTTCCTTGTGACCAAGCTGCTTGGTGCCTGTAGACGAGTCAGGCAAAAGAGCAATGCACCGCAAAACTCGTCTTTGTCTTCTCAGAAAACTACTCGCGGACCTTGGCTTACAGGGAATGAATATCGGTGTTCGGAAAGAGCAGCTTGATTATAACGTTCGAATTTTGTTACTTTGGCGTCTTTCACTCTCCCCATCTCCTCGTCTTTAAAACTCTCTCTCTCAATCTCCACGTCTCTTTCCCTCAGCGCAGACTGGTCAACCAGGAAAATTACCAAAGTTAAATTCTCCGTCTTCCTGATCTGCTTCATTCCCCCTAGCACCACTCCCTTGTTATCTAGGAAGTATTCAGCGATCGCGCTGAATACTGTAATACATAAGTGATGTAATCTTCGCGTTCCACTACCGCAAAAGCGCTACCGTTGGAAGCGCCATCGACATGTCATGAGTTGGTCTCTTAGAGACCGAACTCATGACGATGCTCGCGCCGTCGACGCACGGAGTTATCTACAGAACGTCACCGCGAAGCAACACACGATACATTTTGTGTTACCATTGCCTTTGCCACGATAGTGCGAGAGAGGGATGAAGGTTTTCGTTTTCCTAGTAATCAGGAAAAAAAAAAAAAAAAAAAAAACTCCCGCGAAACGAAATACACGAGGAATGTTTTATGAAGTTCTTAGTCAACAAGCCGAATACCTGTATGCTTCGGTTCATGTGCTCATTTGAAGGAACATTTAAACGTGGCTCAACGTTCCAAATCGGCTTATTACTCAATGCAACTCGAATTTTTTTTTTTTATTCGGCTGAACGTTTTCTGATTGAGCTAAATTTTGAATTCGACTAGACATTACAATTCTTTTGGACACTTGAATGCGATATTGTTTTCCTCATTAACTGGACGTCTCAATTCGGCTCAAGCATCTGAACTCAGCTGACACGTCCCAACAACGGTCGGGGGACTGCGCGCATCTTGTCATAATACCATACTCTTGAATTACTAAAATATTGTAGTTCAGAAGGTTAAAATGTGTGTTTGTGCTTTTTTTTATGTTGAGCTGCACAGGCGCGACGTTTATGCTTCAAAATAGAATTCTTCGCGTGGAGCACGCAGTTCCTTGGCCTTTTCCTGGTTGTACAGCTTGAGAACTTATCATCTTCGCTTAGTTTTCTTATAATATTGAAACTAATATGAGAATTAGAAGCTAGCAACAATTCACACGTTGACGAAGTTATTGAAAATGATGACATGTTACTGATTAGATATCTCCTGGCAGGAATAATTTAGATTCCTAATGTAACCACACATGAACTCAATGCTGTGTGGACAAGTATAGGATTAGACAGACGAAGTTGTTTTATTCTGTGAAGTGCAAATGGAAGCAAAAGTAGTAACAAAAGAAGTAAAACTTTTTTTACGGGTTTTGGCGAGCTTCACCGAAGGCGTTGAGCGAGTCGCTAAAGTATCCTCTTCACAAATAATGTCGCCAACGTAACCGCAGTAAAATAAGGGTCAGGCACGCTGTCTCGTGACGTGGCAAAGGAGGCGGTAAAAAAAGACAAAAGACAACGAGAAGAAGACGAACGTCGTGAGACGCGCGATCTCAGCTTACGCAAACACCGTAAACGAGTGACTAAACGTCTATGTAAGCAAAGACGTCGAAACAACCCTCCTCTCCTAGCTCTGCGGTAGAGCGACCCCCGTGTGCAACCGTTGGCTATAAAATGTTGACCGTCTCCTAGGCAGTAGTCAGAACACTCCAGGCTCCTTGAGGACAGAGCATCTTCGGACATCCCACGGAAAGCTTCTCTCAAAACGACAGCTTTCGGTTCATCATGCTCGCCAAGGTGAGACTGCGCGCCGCCGGGCTTCTCGGAGCGAAATAGACCCGGGGGTCATATACTAATTTAAAAAAAAAAAGAAAAAGCTTTTGCGGATGTTTACTCTTCACGGGCGAAATAATTACACGCGGTTTTTTGGGTGCGTCTGTTGTTTTGGTGAACTAAATTGAAGAGTATAGAATTCAAAAATGTTATCATCTGTATAGAAAAAAAGAAATTAAAAGAGAAAATACTTTGAAAATAAAAAAGAACAAATAAAAAGTGCACATAATTTTATATGCGACTAAGAAATGTTTCATATTCAATATTTAACCGACACATCTCGGTAAGACTTTGAAATCTATTGACACGAGTGTAATAGCTATTACAAAAGTATTAGGGCGAAAGTGGAGAAAGGCAATGCTTATGTAGTTGAATATAAAGTAACTTGAAATGGAAGAACCAATCGAATAGGTACAGATAAATATACAAGTGATGTGTGCTCCTTGTTATATTCGGTTCTTTGCTCAGCACTGAATTCTTTTTTCGGAAAACAAAGCTAATATCTTTTTATAATGTTACCGCGGCTTTCTTTTCTTTTCTTTTTTTCCTGTTTTCAGTGTATCACTACTGTCAACGTTTTATTTTTGTATGAATTCTCCCCTATATAATGCCCAAAAGGGACCTTAGGGTAAATGAATAAATTTGAATCCGGTGTTTTGATGGCTGGAACACTAAAAACCTTCACTGCTGCTCAATAGTGCTGATGCTGCATGAAGAAATTGTCGTGTTAGCAGCCTCGCTCGACAACTAAAACTGTTCCCCGAAACCACTGTTTCTTTTAGCTGATCATCGTGTACATGGCAGCTGCCAGCATTCATGCTGAAGACTCCTTGTTCGGGTCAGGCCTTAGACCCGGAGCGTATCGTGGGGCCGGATATCCCGACTCCGCCTACGTAAGTGACGCTCAGTACTCGGCTCTCTGCCGGAGACACTGCCAAATTATACATGCCGTCTACAGTCATTGACAATAATTGAACTAATAACTGAATCTAGCTATTCAGAGCATGGTGAGAATACACTTAGCAAAAAGTGAAGAATGGACTATTGAGCACCGAGAACAACCTTGAAATTACAAATAAAGTTGTCGGCGTTGTTTTTTTTTTTTTTATGTTGTTGTTGGTCGTTGTGTCCTAAGAGATAGTCAAAGCCCTAACAAAATCTTCTGAGCATGTTCGGCTTCAATTACACGCAAAACGTTAATTGAACAAGTTAACAGCCGAAGCATGAGAAAGGAGCAAATGTCGCTGCCCTCACTGTTACCGAAATTGTGATAAGAAGGATAAGCTCAGCAGGGGGTCTTTCGAGCCTCTCTAGTTAATAAAATATTTACCATGTCACCAGCACATCCCGGGGCATTCGACACCACCTCACCTAAAGGCAGTCTGAGCTTTACTACTACGACGACTGCCTCCATCAACCTCATGCGACTTCCCCACACCTTCTTTGCAGCCGTCGGTGCCGTTCAGCTTCGGCTACGACACGGTGGACGAGTTCGGCACCAGGCTGTTCCACAAGGAGGACGCCGACGCCAGCAACTCCAGGACCGGCTCGTACGGCTACACGGACCCCTACGGCCTCTTCCGCCGCGTCAACTACGTGGCCGACGCCGGGGGATTCAGGGCCACCGTAGAAACTAACGAGCCCGGCACGGCGCCAGGGCAGAGTGCCGACGCAGTCTTCAACGCCAACCCTGTGGTCAGCGGGCCAGGCGTGAGGGCTCCTGGCCCCTTCGGGGCATCGGCGTACGGCGCGGCCGCTGGTGCCGCATACGGATACGCCGGGAAGTACGGATATGGCAGGGATCCATACGATCGTGCGGGTTACGGTCAGGCAGGATACGGACCGGCTGGGTACGGGCAAGCAGGATACGGGTCGGCAGGATATGGTTCAGCAGGGTACGGTCCGGCTGGATACGGACCGGCTGGATATGGCGCCTCTGGATACGGTGCTGTTGGATACGGTAGGGCTGGATACGGCGCGGCTGGATACGGTACGGCCGGATATGGTCGACCAGTATACGGTCTGCCCGCTTACGGTCGTCACGGCCATGGCCACCACGGATACAAGGCTCGCTCCTGAAAGGGAAACTATAATTGAGTATTCATCGAATGCCCCTCTGCAAGATGACTTTATTCCTGTCTTTATTTGTAGAAACGCTCTGGAGGACAACTAGTTTGGTTTGAAATAAAAGAGAGTGATATTGATTTTGAGCCACGTGTTTTCGTCTCTGTTCATCCGTAAAAATCCGGCGTCGTCAGTGGCGTGACCTAGCGATGGTACCGAAAATGGCCGTCGGCACAAAGAGTAAGAACCCGTAAAAAATTCTCGGATTGACATCAGTTTTCTCAGGGAGGTTCCTGAAAACAAAGTAAATTAATGGCTTTGAAAAGTAAATTTGGTACGTTTCGGTCTGGGTGGGAATCGAACCGGGCCTCCTGGGTGCGAGACGCACGCTTGCCCGACGACACGACGGCTCCACGGCTCCGGCTGACTAAAAGTGCGTCTAGTGCGTACGTCATTGTACTGTGGCCAACCTATACGCAAACACACACACCGAAGCAACAAAAAGAAGTTTAACTCATATCGAAAACATCAATCGAAAGCATTTCACCAAAAGGACTATAATGATTTCGCATTCCCACATTTAAGCAGTCTTAAAGGCATACTGGACCAAACGTTTTAGTGTCCATATTAACCGGCTCACGATCTTTCTACGAGCCAGCAGCCGCCGGTGTGTGCGAGCACGCGCAACGACAGTGACGTCATAGTCCTCCATTCACGTTTAAGATGTCAGTGAAATGTATGGGCTTCGGGCAAAATGATAATGAAGACATGCTTTTCCTCTCCAGAAGTGAAAGCTACGTGCTTAATAAACCAATTAATCACCTACCTGTTACACCAGACCCCACTGTGGGGATGAAAATCCTGTCTTTATACTCTTTTTGCCCGGAGCCCATACATTTCACTGTCATCATAAACGTGAATGGAGGAGTATGGCGTCAATTTTGTTACGTGTGCTCGCGCGCACCGGTGGCTGCTGGCTCGTGGAAACATGGTACACCACTTTTTATGGACACCAAGATGTTTGGTCTAGTAACCCTTTAAGTGTCTCTGCCGATTTTTCTCGTTGTTTGTAACGAGAAATCGTGCTGGAGTGGAACTTTCTGAAAGTCCCATGAATATCTGTTCCGGTACGACTAGGTGGTTGCATGGTGAGAATGGAGCAGAAATGTGTGATACTCATTACAAATGATCAAATTACGTGTAAACGAATATGAATCGAATTAATTTTGCATTATTTTATTACTTTTATAATGCAATACTCAGAAGAGTAATTTGAGAACTTTTGGAGAGTAACATAATTGCTCGTAACCCTTACTTTTTTATAACCACTTCTACCCGGTTTCCGAGATTCGGACTACCATTTTTTCCGGTGTATAGTCCGCCAAAACAAATTTGGGTTCCAAAATCAAAAGTTTTGCACGGCGGGGGCTGCACGAACAACCCCTGCCTTGGTGGGGGATCTCTTCGCAATTGGCGGTATTTGGTTAGCGTGCCTACCAACTTTACAGATCGTGTTCTGCAGGATACCGGCAATGGAAACGGGATTGCCTCACTTGATGAGGCTTGCGAAGGTTGTCGGCACGTTAAACGTTTCCTTTTGAGTTTTTTCGAATAAGTCTTCGATATCCATAAATCTGAGTCTTCAAGCAGCTCCTCATACAACCGGATTTGGATCCCACGTTTTTTTGTTTTGTTTTTTTTGTTTTGCATGCATTGGGGGGGGGGGGGGAGGTTTCACCCAACTTTTGTTTCCATCAAGAAGCAGTTCGTTGTTTTCTGTATCTAACAATGCTGCTGCCAATAATCGCGTATCACCGTTTCATGCACACCTCCATTATTATAATCTCGTCAGCGCGCACCGACCCTTGTTGCCGGGAGTGCGACCGCTAAATTCTTCTGATATCAATCACATTATTGATATCCTCTCGGCCATCCACGGTCCGTGGGAATGTTCGTGAATGCCGAAACCGAGGAGGGAATTCCGCTGGTTCCGCTCATCGCTGATGTCGCGCACATTCCTCCCAGAGAAAGCTTGTGGGGTTCTTTATGAAAGTCCCTCCACTACTAATCGCCGACCGATCGGTATGCGCTCCGCCCGTCACCCAGGGAGTTACACACTGCAACGAGAAGACAGTGAATGGGTTTACTGTATTTCTCGGTTGCCCGTTGTCGAGAGCCTGAAGTCCAGGCACGCCGACCCTTGTTGTCGCCCGTCGATCAGAGCTAACAGTCGGGGTCCGTGTCCAGGCCTGCGGATCGCTTTTCCCACGCCAGCGCTGCGTAGGCTGGTTGTCCCGGGCTATCAATGCCCGAGTCTCGCTGCGGAACCACCCCGGGATCGTCGTAGCCCAGGTCACATGGCCAGGAATCGCCGTTTCCACCGGTCTTGCTCCAGACCTCGCTGGTGGACCGCTCTCGGGTTCGCCATGCATGGGCCGCGCCAGGCAGCTTGGCTTCGACCGTCCCTTGTCCAGCTCCAGCCTCGCTCAGCTCGGGCTATCTCGCTCAAGCTCGTGTCTTCTCCGCCGGCCGCCTGTCACGTGCCCTCTGCCTCGTCTTTCACCCTCGGCTCCCACACTCTCCCCCCTCAAGGCCCGGACTTCGGGGGACTTCATGGGCCTCAGGGAGCCGCTGGGCTTCATGGGCGGCCGCTGTTGCTGTTGCCGGAGTGGCCACATTGCAGCGTCCGAAAGCGGCGTAGATGGTGGTGGCTAGCGAAGCCATCAGACAATGCCGACCTGTCCGTCGCTTGCTGTCCCACTCACCGCGATGCAGCAGGGGGCTTGCTCTAAGCTGGTCCAGCCGACGCAGACGGACTTGCCCCGTTCCGCTTAGAGGTCGCAGCGGGCTTAAAACTGCCCGCCTGAACCGTTCGTCAGGCCGAACAGCTGTCAGCCACTCTGAGCACTTGGGAAAACGAATGGTCCCGTATTCCCTCCCGGTGGGCTTCCTGGGTTACAGCGTCTATATGGCCGTCTTTCCAAGAAGTTATTCTGCGCAGAACAAACTGTTAAAACAACATACAACGAAGAAGTACCCTGCCGCAGACTGTGGCAGTGGCCATAGCCTCCAACGGCAAATAGCTTGCCGACGGGTTCGTATACCATGCGGCAAACTCATCAAGTCTGCATTCCAGAGCTCGCTCCTGGGTCGCCAAGAACAGGGAATTTCTTGTGTCCTACCGCAACCTCATGTTACACGTCTCCCCCATCGCGACAACAGTAGTATCATTTCAAGTCAGCGATGTGAACCGGGCAAGCCTCCTTGTTTGTATCTCACCGAGAAAGCCTAGAAGTAAGACACGACGCTCGCGTCTTTATAGCTCGGGTGCCCTTCTCACCTCGCAGCAAGCGATGCGGCAAAACCACTAGCTGCATTGCTCAACGCGTGAGTTTCCTTCTGAACAGGTAACGATGGAGTAAACCTAGTCTATCTGTTGCGCAAGCGAGGGATGTAAAGCCTGTGCCGGGACGGCCATATTCCATACCCGCGCTCCAGAACGGCTACATATACCCTGTAGTACTCGATGTAAGCGTCAGCGTCCCGTTCCGTATACGAGCTCTAGGGATTTCTCGGTCCTCGGAGTGGGCGGCAGCTCAGCGAGCAAGCCCGCTTTAACCGTTCATGACTCAAGGCAAGCTAGACAGCTACAAGCCACTCGAATGTCTACCGCCTCATCCCCGGCCAGGTCGTGACGCGACATAACTCATTAAAAGTCCTGCTGTCACTGCCACGACCGGCCAGAGTGAAGCCGAAAAAGTATCCTATAAAACATTTCGTAACTTTCTCGGAACGACCCCCTCAAGGGAGAGTCGTCCCTCTGCCCTTCGTCGGTTGTTGGAGTGACGCGAAGCAACTAGCCGTCTTGGCCCAGCGGTTACAAATCATACTGCTCCTTAACTCGCCTGCCAGCGTTCCTGGTGTCAACTGCAATTCACGCCAGTTTACCCAACACCCGCTGACAACCTCGTCCGCCAGTGTTCCCGGTGTCGACTGCAATTCCCGCAATCTTTCCGACACCCACTGACAAAACCCATCTGCACCCGGGCCTCGACAAGCGCTTACTGGCTCACCGCATCACTCCAAGCCTAAATTCTAAATATGCAATAACTCCTGGCTGTTTTCCCTCCTGCCAGTCGCTATCCTGCCTTCCAGAGAACATGCCATGTCTCTCTTCTACCTCCGAAGACGACTTTCTTACATCTTAACGGCGCTCCTCGTGTACCCCCCGGTTGCGTCCCCTTCTGCCAACCACTATTTTGGGGTACCCGAGAAAGCGCGTTCGCAACCTCGTCCTTCGAGACCTTTAAGTACTCAATTCGAGGAGACACCTGCTGAGCTCTTCTGTGAGACAAGTGTCCCAAATTCCAACATACTTTGTCTCAACGGGCATCGTTAGCGTTAGTTAACAAACTCAACCAAACGAATCAGTGGGACTCCCTGGGGACGACTAGAAGCAGAGGTTTACCGAACGGGCCCCACGTTGGGCGCCATTTTAATCATGTCGTATTACACCTGAGACTGCGGTGGAAGAAATCGGAAGAACTTTCAGTAGAAGGAACAGACACAGAGAACGTCTCAAACTCAGCTGAGTTTGAGACGTTCTCTGTGTCTGTTCCTTCTACTGAAAGTTCTTCCGATTTCTTCCACCGCAGTCTCAGGTGTAATACGACATGATTAGCTACTACCAGCTCACCTGCACACTCACCGTCCTTTCGCCATTTTAATGTGGTGTTCTTTATGGAAGTCCCTCCACTACTAATCGCCGCCCGATCGGTATGCGCTCCGCCCGTCACCCAGGGAGTTACACACTGCAATGAGAAGACAGCGAATGGGTTTACTGTACCTCTCGGTTGCCCGTTGTCGAGAGCCGGAAGTCCAGGCACGCCGACCCTTGTTGTCACCCGTCGATCAGAGCTCACAGTCGGGGTCCGTGTCCAGGCCTGCGGATCGCTTTTCCCACGCCAGCGTTGCGTAGGCTGGTTGTCCCGGGCTATCAATGCACGAGTCTCGCT